CGCTGCCCCGTGCCCACCCCAGGGCTCCGGTTGCCGGTGCGGGGCCTCGCACCTGGCGCACACCGGCGGCGGGGCGCGGGCACCCCCGGGGCGGGCTTTCTGTCACTCGATGGGCCCAGCCCGCTGGGTCCATGCCGGTCCCCCCCTCTCCTTTCCCGGCCATTGGATGCATGGAAATTTTGGGGGGCACGGTTTCCAGCGGTGACAGCGGGGGATGAGAAACGGGGTGCTTGGGGGAGCAGCCCCCCCCCGGTTCGGTGTCGCTGCCCGGGGGACACCGGGAGCGCCCCGACGGGTGAAGCGGGAGGTGCTGCTCCGCCGCCGTGCCCGGGGGAGAGGGGCTGGCGGTCCGAAACTGCCCCCGCCTGAGGTAAGGGGGGAAAGAAATCCTCGGTGAAATATATATTTAAATGCAAAACGGCCCGCTCAAACAGCGACCCATTATGCGTTTGGTGTGAAACGCTATCAACATTTAAAACTTCATTGTCTCCTTTGTACCAAATCCCTGTAAATCTTCTACTAGCCTTTACTCATTTTCATCTGAAAAGCCTGTTTGGGCTGAATAGACAGCAATCAGCAGCCTCTGGACTTCTCTCTCTCTCTCTGGAATGTCAATTAAAATGCAGATTTTTTTTTTTTCTCCCCCTGATCTCTTAGTGGCAAAAGACTTGAGAAAAGCAGGATAGTCCTGGAAAGCAAATGAAAGAAGTTCAAACAATGAAAAAAGTAGTGAAGCTGCCAGCCGGTTCCCATTAGTCCTCCAGAATTAATGTTTAATAGCTGTGATGCTCAGATTTGCTTGGAGATTGAGCTGTGATGAAGAGCCTTGTTAGATATATATGTGTGTATATATATATTTATAGACGCGTATGTATTTGTGTGTGTGTATACAAAGCTGTTGGCTTTAAAGCTTTGCGTACCTGTTTTTTTTTCTGATGAAGCTGCTGGGCTTTTAGGGCGCTTGAGATGTTTTTTGTGGAGGGAAGATCCGTATTTCATTCAGATTCTGCTGTTCCCTGCCTAATAGAGAAAGATGCGCAAGAGCTCTACAATGAGCAATGTATTGATTTGGTTAACATACTCTACAAATTGTACTCTCCCTGGGGAGTGATAAACATCTTATAAACAACAATGGAAGTAGATTAAAAAGAACACTGAGCATTGAATTTAATTAATGCCACTGCTGAACAAGTACTACTTGTTTGTGTGTGTGAGTGTGTTTAAACTGAAGTACAGCTTGGAGGAATTTGGTTGGGCTCCCAAACCAGTCTGCTTTCCCATGCTTGTCAGTTTGGCAAAGAAATTTGGGCAGGTATGTGACGAGGTGAAAATTGACTTGATGAGCGAGTGGCAAGGAGAGCCATCAATCATTGGAGGCTGACAACTCCTCCCCAAAGTGTAGGCTGAGAAGAGAGACAGAGTTCCCTTTCAAGGGGAAAAATAAACACTACGTGTGGCTTTCACTGAGTCGGAGACTCCAGGAGGGATTATGGTATTGTAGTCAGGAAGCCAGAATTGTGGAGGCCAAAAAGCATGCTGGGGCTGTGTTCCAAACATTGAGATAGAGGTACATAATTATCCAGCGCAGGAGGTCTTTCCAGAGACTCGTCCCCCAGCAACTGTGGCCATCCAACTATGAAAAGAATTCGGTTTCGTTTCATCTTCGTTGGACTCTTGCTTCTTTTGGGAAGGGGCAATCCTTGAACCCTGGTCGCTGTCGTGGCGCTAAAAAAAGCGGTTTGGCTCCGTGGATGGGTCCGGAGCTCTGATTTTTGCTTTGCTACACCTTCGCAAGCCTCGGGTTTGAGTTTGCTGCTGCCCTGTGGGTGACGAGGCCCTTCGTTCCGCTGGCAGATGTTGAGGTGCAGAAGCCGGCAGAAAGCTTCAGGTGAGAAGACGCGTGGTCAGGTCGCCTTGTGCCGCCCTTCAGGGTTTGGGCTGAGGGTAGGAACCACAAACGTGCTTTCAGTGGTGTTTCATCTAGCCTAAAAATCTGAACCCGTTGAAATGCGAGCGGAATTCGTGTTGTTAAAGAGTCTGGAATACGTGCTAGCGTTCTGGTAGGTTTTCTTTTTTTTTGCAAAATGATGATTAAATTTTGCATTTGTATACATAGCCTTTAATCGAGAGTTTACAGGATGATTTATGGAAATTAAATCAGCATTACATCCAGCCTGTTAATTAGGGTTTCTACCCACTATACAGCTGGATAAACCGAGCTACAGAGCTGTGGCTGTCGGGCAGTTGACCCTGGGTGGTAGCGTCCAAGGGCTTGCTCCAGTCCTTCACCAAACACAAACCGGTCCCAGAGACAGAGCTCTTCAGTTCTACACCTGCTCTGTGCTTATTTAAAGAAGTGCTCGGCAAGCTCTTCGCAAATGTTTATGCAGTGGTCTGGTGGTGTTTTCACTGGAGATTTAATGGTAGTTGCTAGCTTGTGGTCTGGGATGCTCGCGCTATGCTTAACTCCCTACGGGAGGGACAGAGCTTTGAACTGGTATCAGCTGAGGTGAAAAAAACTTGCCCTGAAGTATCAGGGATTCACCTGAAATACCGTGTATTAATTATTTTCCCCAAGTGCCTTATTTATGTCATCAAAAATCTGTTCCTGCTGACCCCAGCAGTTACTGTGTATAGTACCCAAGGGAAGAGACCTCAGCAGCATTTCTGTCCTTAGCACCGTGAATTTGGTTTGTACCTAACAGGCAGCGAAAGGCTAACAGACTCTGAATAAACTTTTTAATAGTTGGCTTTATAAAGGGAGAATATTTGTCCGTGTTCCTGTCTAGTGTATGCTGAGGTACCACACCACATCCAAATGACAGGGAGTTTTGAGAAGTTTGCCTTTTTCTTTACACTCTTTGCCTTTTATTATTTTTTAAGGGTGAGGGCAGGAAAGAAAAAAAAGGTTTTATGTTACTTTTCCCTTCAAGACGAGCTAAGTTTCAGTTGGGTTTTATCACATCTAAGATGAATCATTGGCCAGGGTAGAACAGTTGTTGCAGTTACTTGTTTTATCCATTTACTGAGGTTTGCCATCTTTTATTTTTGAAGCGGAAAATCAGGTCTAATTTTCTGGTTGAGCTGTTAAATCACCCTGTGAGGATGCTCTTCTGACCCTCACCTGGCATCTTAGTATAGTGGCAACAAGGTCCCCTGAAGGGAGTCCTGGTTACTTTGGTACCACTTCTGTCTTCCATCAGCCTATGCCTCGATTACCAGTTAACTCCAATAATTTAAATTAGTTTCACTGTGTATAATCTAGACTTTTTTTTTTTTTTTCCCTGTTTGAAAAATATCAATAAGCATCAATGAGAGAGAAAGGAGAAATGTGTGTACATGCAGTTTAGCATATACGAATGGAAAACGATGCTTGGGAGGTCTGTGAAAGTGCAGTCTGTGCAATACTTTATACAGATTTTAATTGCTTGTAATGCAAAGTAGCTAACCAGTATCCCTGCAAGACTGGAGCCTCTCACCTGTACAGGACTGTCAGGCTTTAAAAGGACAATGAACTGAATAAGAAGGAGGTATGTCCATGGGGGAACTAGAAGTCCTGAGGTGAAATAGAGATTATCCAAATCTAAAGGGTATTTTTCAACTATTTTTTTCTTGTGGAAAATTACTGAATTCTTGCGAATTCAGCTGGCTGCAGAACTGCCTAGGTGAAGGAATGAAAAACAAGACAAACTTACATAAACCTTCAGACAATAACAAGAATATAATTTGTATAATTGTGGTAATTTTGTAGCATTACAGGTTATGTGCCTGCACATGTGTGTGCCGCTCATTTTTTAAAAACTGTATATTTTTCTGTCAGTAAAATAGCTCTCTAAATATGTGCTGAGAAGTGATTTTGTGAAAACAGGGAGGACTTGGTTATGCCTCAGGTGATGATGGAAACTGCTAACAGAAAATGAAAAGTCACTCACTTTTCACATATTCTTGAAGCTGGAAAACTATTTTCCCCATCCTCCTCCTCCCCTCCCTCTCACCTCAGCTCTGTTTGGGGCTTTCTGAAGGTTTTTGGTTTGTGTTTTAAGATGTCTTTGCTGACAGTGTTAAATCTTTCTCCTCCCCACAGCAGCAGCCGTCGTTCCAAGGGAGGAGGCATTACCCTGGCCGAAGGCACTGCTTTCTCTCCATGCTTCTCTAGAGGTGTTCAGATGGGATTAAAGTCCACATGGAGATATGGAAATGGACCAGGAATTTACTCTAAAAAGATGGTCAGCTGGGATTTGGGTTGCCTTATCTGCCTGGTGGTGGTCACCATGGCTGGACTTTCCCTGGCTCGACCTTCGTTTAATTTAGTTGTTGAAGACACCACACTGGAACCTGAAGGTAAATCACTCTAGAATCCTTAACTCTGCAAAATAAGTTCATTCTGAATGCCTGAACGTCTGACGCAGAAGTCAACCTCTTTATGTGCTTTGGCAAGTAACAGATTAGCCCTCAAAAGTTGGGTTTTTTCACTTCTGCTCACACATGGGCTGTGTTCATGCAGGCACGCGTTTAATCTTATGCAAGCAAGTGGTGTCAGTGATTTCACTTGGGACTGTCATCACGTTGTATTATCAAAGCGTACGCCTGAAAGTTTTCAGGAATGGGTCTTTAAGGAAACCAGTCTGTTGGGTTTACATACGTGTTACATGTTGTTGTCTCAGGGAATGAAATGGCTGTAGAGCTGCGTGTCTTTGTGATCGTCTTAACCTGAGAAGTTCAGGGAAAAAATAAATCCCGCTGGCTTTCAGTTGTGTGGCGTGAATGTTTTAATTTTGCCTGGCACTCTGCAAAAATGGTGTTGCAGCTTTATTGGTGTTTGTACTTAGCGATGGGGAAATTTATTCTAACTGTTAATATCCAAGAACTATCAGTACAGTGTCTGGATTGCAAGTTCTGGAAGCGTAAATGTTGAGATCTGAATAGCCAGGACTGGAGTTTATTACCCTGAAAACAAAGGCTAACCGAGACCTTTACGTCGGAAGAGGTGTTTTTGATAAAACCTATTTTGAGCCTGCACCTGTTGGTAGGCTCTTCTAGGTATATCTGTTCCTCAAGCTTTGCAAAGTGGTTTTCTTCCCTAAAGAGCTAATGAGGGGATGCTTTTTTATTACTGCGAGTTGATTGGATGTAAGACTGATTTTACTGTTTTCTGTGGGATCTTTCCTGCCCTCTGAGCACCTGAGGGGGAAAGCAAGGCTTCCTTCATGAGGTTTTACCTGTCCTGTGGAGGAGTGATTACATTTCTAATAACTATCAAACCGATGTAACAGTCCATACAGCATTTCTGATCTGGCGAGGTTGCTGGAGAGAATTTGACCTTTACACGTTCTACTCCTCATGTCCACGGATACAGCTTTGTTTTTATTTAATACATTTTCATGCAAAACTTATTTGTTTCTATCCACTGCCTCTAAAAATAGACGTCACCAGCTAACACATTTTTAGAATCCGTTCCAAGTACATTTTTATTGATGGCAGGGGATGAACTATTTAAGAGATGATGAGCCCTCTTCCCTAGCAAGCATTTCTGAATAAAAATTAACCAAGTATAACAGTATTGTCATCTGTCAGCCATAGAGATTGTTGATAGCAAAGACTTTTTTTTTTTTCCCCTTTTGAAGGTAACTCAAGAATTAAAAACCCCTCCAACTCTCATCACCACTTACTGTATGATTTGTTAATTGCACATCTGGTGCCTTTTTGGCTTTTCAGAGGAATGACAAAATCATGAATAATTCTGGTTTCAGATTAGCTGTTTGTAATGAGGTCCCCTAGTTTTAGGGTGAAATCGGAAAGAATGTGATTGCATGATTGGTGGAAAATTTTACAGGGAGAAGAGTAATGTGCTTTGAATGATGCCTGATAATTTTTCAGCTTCTTGGGGGAAGAATAGCTTTTATTATCTTAAAAAGCACAGTTTAAAAATGTTTCTTCCACAGTGAATATCCAGGGGGTGGAATCTGGGTTTTATCAAAGAGTAAATTGTTAAAAAGGATTTAAAACTTCTTCCCTAGGCAGGAATGTTACTGACATGAAGCAATTTTGGATGTGAGAAACCAAATTATTACCAGAAATGAGGAAAAAACAAAAAAAACCCCAACCCTGCTTCCTAGTTAATGGTGTAATAAGAGCTTTTATGCTACAGAATAGAGGGAATTGTGTGGGATTTATATCTGAGATTTGGGAAATAAAACCTCCTTTATGTACTTCGTTAAACCCCTTTTTTTTAAAAATAAAAAAAAAAAAAAAAAGTATGTTTTTACACAGTCACCTTCCCTGGGTTCCATCACTGCCACCCACAAGCTCTCCAAGCTGAAAACAAAACAAAAACCCCTTCAAAAAAATCTCTTCAAAGACAAAAGCAGACTTCTTATTTAATTTAGTAAATACCGTTTTGGCCACAGCTAATTTGGAGGGTCAGGTGCTCTAATAATGTAAATTTTTGGTAGGGCTGCTGACTGTGCAGTCATTAGAGCGATGACATTTCTTACCAGCTGAGAAGGTCGACGGGGCCGTGACCTTTGGTGACATGTGTTGATCGGTTCCTTAGTCTTCCTTCATGGGCATGCCCTAAATTTTGTCTTTTTTTTTTTTTTTTTTTTTTTTTTTTTTTTGATGTTAGGTGCTTTTATTGTTACTATTTATTGTCTTAGTGACTCAGAATATTCACAAAGCTGTATGCAATGTTAACAGAAATTGAGGTTGTGGCTTTTCATTATATGCTCTTGTCTCTTAGCTAAACATAACTTTAGGGACGTTTGCAACCATTTAAGTATGTATTGTATAGAGTAATCAGCTGCGTGGATATGTGCAGGATACGTGCAAGGCATTGTCACGCATTGAGGTACTTGACTTTTGGTTATCTGCAATCACTTTGGTAGCACGCTTCTCTTGGGTGCTTTCATAAAATACTGGACTTGTTGAGTTCCGAATCTCATCTGGGACCATTAGATATTACCCTGGTACATATGAAAGTATTTACACCGAAAATGGTATCTTGAGCCGTTGTAAACGATAAGGTCAATACTGATTTCATGGGTGCAGGTTAAGGGCTGGATCCTGAGTGTGGTTGTTAGTGGTTGTGGTGCTTTCTTCCTGAAGCAGTGATGTTAAAATCTGAGGCTCTTAGTGTGAGCAGAAACACGACCTGTAGGAGTTAGTTTAGGGACTGTCAACTGTCGAATTATATCTTGCATCAAGTGTTTACATATGTTTTTTTTTTTTATCCTAGGAAGTATGAAGGCTTTCTCTTGAAAATATTTGGAAAAAAGTCTACCCCAGTGTGTACAAAGGAGCCATTCTCTTTCTGTGTACCCAGGCTGTGACGGCCTTTGATGATAGCCAACGTTTCAAAAGGGCTCTGACCGCACACAGAGGTTGAAGGGTTACTTTGTGAATTGAATAATTAGTTTAGACATATATTTGATAAATAGCAAGCTCTCCCTTGACCTCCCCTTGCCCAAGCTGTGTGTTATCCTTCTGCTGGGTAGCTAATTTAGTCTCTTCCCCACATGCAACGCCTTGACACTGTCCTTGGAGCACCCACTTAAAGCCCTCGCCTGGTGCAGTGACAGCGTGTTTCAGTTCTTTTAATTTAGGTCAAATTTCAAAGGACTAATTTAAGCTTTCCACAAGGGATAGCCTAATTCCGTGTCCTGTGAAAAACACAGTGGTTCAAAATGGCCTTAAATGTGCATTTGGGAGGTTTCTAGGAGCAACAGTGAAGGAGAGAGACCTTCTTTAATTGGTGATGTGTGCTTATGGTGGGCTCTGAAGCGAGTAATGAGTTGTCATTTGGATTTTAACTCAGTCACAGATATTTACTGGCACTAAACAATAGAAGAATATAAACACATTCAGTGCAGTACCCAGAGCAATACCTTCCGTTTTGTACAAATGTTGCATAAGATGAGCAGTGTATCTTCATTTTTGTAAAAATGTTGGCAGTGCTTTACAGGTTAGTGTCACCTGTGGTCACAGTGGTTGGCACAGTTCACTTGGAGATCCCTCTTTGGCTACCATGACCTGCCTGGATCAGGATGGGAGTCTTGTGAGGTGCTTCCAGTTTGTGGGCTGGGCTGTAGCCTGTGGAGGAGGGCTGCTGCAGTGGTGGGATGTCCCCTGTCCCACGGGGAGCACTGTGCTCCCCATCCTGGGGTGTCCCATGGTCCCTCGCCATGCTGGTGCCACCCTGCTGTGAGGATGGAGGGCTGATGGGACCCTCATGGTGGTCATTTTCCTGGGGCAGTGACGGAACACCAGGATGCTCTGTCCAATTTGGTAGGAAAAGTAAAGCAAAAAGTTCATCCAGAGTTCCTTTGTTACTACTTTTTTGTCTTTTTTTTTAATTACAAGAATAGTAGCTTTGATATCTTCGTTGGGATTAACAATTCAAATTGATAACAATTCAAATTGATTAGTTAAATAGGAGTGGGTTTTGTTTTTTTTAAGGAAGGGAAGTTATCACAGCCTATTATGGAGGAATGTGACATCCCCACAGCTTCGGGTGAGGGTTGGATGCCCTTTCAGGGATCTGCTTCAGTAAGTTATTTGGCTCAGTACAAGAAGGGCTAGCTGAGATTCAGGGGAATTGTACAAGCAGCCAGATCAAGTCGGTTTTAACGTGTCCATTCTGTGTTTAAAATCCCCAGTCCTTTAGCCAGGGGCATAGTCCTGAGCTGCAAACTAATTGGGCATGGGTAGGGTTGGTGTTTACAGTTGGTGTTGAAGAGACACTGGGACTTGGTAGTGTGGCAGCGTGGCAGCTATTTTGCAAAGTAGCACAAATAATTGCATGTTTCAGGCTTATCTGCCATACAATTGCAGGTTTTTGAAGGGGGGGGGGCATACTAACTTCTAGGGATTTAATTCCTTCAGTTATTTTTTTTTAAAGCCAGAATATTTTCAGAGATGCTGAGTTGGGTTATTTATTTATTTATTTTAAAAAACCACCTGTATAGATAAAACCCCAAACCAACGATTGACTTTAACAGTTGCATTGTTTTGTTTTTTTTTTTTAAGTTTTAAAATAGCTCTTCCTTGGCAGAGAACTTGCAAAATTTTCAGGTTATAGTAACTTTTTTTACAAGCGAGTTACAAACCTTTGAAAACAGAATTTACAATGAAAATGCTGACCACTCCAGTTCTGCAAGGTTGTGCACGTGTGAGATGCTGGGCTATTGTGATGTTTTAATACTAATCATAGAAATACACCCATTAAGAGCTATTCTATCTCCAGCTTGCCTGCTTCGGTGGAAATGATTATTTGCCTTTATTCAAATACACTCAAAGATTAACATTTTCTTAGAATGTTTAGTTTAAGAGCAGAGGGGAGCGTG